AGAGAGAGAGAGAGAGAGAGAGAGAGAGAGAGAGAGAGAGAGAGAGAGAGAGAGAGAGAGATACATGTGTGTGGGTGTGCAATTTTAAATATTTGGGATGCCAATTTTAGATTTAGGCCATTATTTGATTGATTTGATTTTGTTGTTTGTATGAGCTGTTGACGTGCATAGAAGGGTGTGTTAAGGTGTGGTGTCACAATAATAGGACTGTCGACGTAAATCAGAAAACACACCCAATAGCATAGGTCATCTGTACAGCTTAAAAACAGTGGAGCTGCTGTTGTTCTTCAATAACAGAACCAGGCAAACTAACAGGCAGGATCCACCCAATCACTACAATGAAGTTAATATTTCTTCTAAATCTCCTCTGGGTCCTCTGCAGCACAGGTAGAAATATATATATATATTACAAATGCTCAATAGTTTTTCAAATAGTACTTGTATTATTTAAATTCAATACATGTGACAACATAAATATCAATGGAGTTGATATTTTTATATAAAGCATAAACTGTCACTGAGGTACCCACACTTGAACCACTCTCCTTGATTTTTTTTTTTTTTTTTTATGGCATCACAATATTGATAAATGTATTGTAAATATAATCTTTATTTATTTGCAATTGTTTTCTGATTTCAGCTCGAGCCTTGCAATGTACAACCTGCAAAGATCAGACATGTACCAGCACAGTTTCATTACCATGTGGTTCGGAGACTATGTGTATAACGGCTACCATCCTAGGTAAATATATATATTCTCATGTTATAAAAGATTAATTATTAGAATTTCCCACTGGGATGTGGTTAAATTATTTGGCTGTAAGTGAAGGACTGGGATATAAAAACCTGTTTTGCAGAATGGGCATCTGACATGAAGACTTTGCTGTCTGTGTGTATGTGGTTATGACTTTCTGTGATGACCCCTGAATAAGGGGGGAGCCAAAATGACACAAAAAATATTATTAATTATTTCATGATAAAATGAAGATCATACCCTGTGCTGTCTGTTTTTCCTGATACTAACATTATGTCTTTGTACTCTGCAGGAACCAAGCCTGGAGCAACGGCAACACAAATCTACAAAGCCTGTGCATCATCTTCTCTGTGTCCGGCCTTAGGCTTTCCAAGTTTTCCAGTAGATTTTTCTGTCAACGTGGGTTCCCAAAGTGCAATTGCAAATGCTGTTTGCTGTAACACAGACAACTGCAACTCACAAACCCTGCCACGTATGTGTCGTCCCAAGTTTACAAAAATCCTAAACTCTTTGTTTTCGTAGTATATAATTAAATTCTCCTCTATTGTGCACTTACCTTTCAGCACCCACTGCTCCTGAAGAAAACTCCCTCCAGTGTTTTTCTTGTGACCAGTCCACCAATCAGTGCACCACTCCAATAACATGTTCAGGAAAAGAGAATAACTGCTTTTCAGCAACTTGTAAGTTTCGATGAATAATGAACAATGAATGTGTAAAATTGATCAAAACCCCCAAAAAATTAAGTTTTCATACGTCAGCCTGGCTGTGTGTTTTACTGGATGGGGTCACCTTTTGCAGTTGCCTGTTGTATCTCTGCTTCTGTCTCCTTGAACCCCAGTCGGCCTCGACCTGGTTCTCCTGGCGGTTTCTTCCTGTTAAAAAGGATTTTTTCATCTCCACTGTTGCTACAAGCACGCTCAGTGTGAGGGATTGTCTATTAGTCAATGAGTCCACTCAGCTGGTTTTTCTTAGATAGAAAACTTAATCAATATGACTGAATGATCTGGTGAACAAGTGCCTTGAGATGACGTGTTGTGACATGGTACTATATAAATAACCTGAAGATATATATATATATATATATATATAGACCAAAGGTTTGGACATGCCTTCTTATTCAAAGGGTTTTCTTTATTTTCATGACTATGAAGGCATTAAAACTATAAATTAACACATGTGGAATTATATACTTCAGTAAAAGTGTTAAACAACGGAAAATATGTATTATATATTAGGTTCTTCAAAGTAGTCACCTTTTGCTCTGATTACTGCAGAGGTAGTCATCTGTAACAGGTCTCCCCTTGAGGTTTAATAAGTGGGATTTCTTGCCTTATAATAGTGGTTGTGACCATCAGTTGTGTTGTGCAGAAGTCAGGTGGATACACAGCCGATAGTCCTACTGAATAGACTGTTAGAATTTGTATTATGGCAAGAAAAAAGCAGCTAACTAAACGAGTGGCCATGATAACTTTAAGAAATGAAGGTCAGTCAGTCTGGAAAACTTGTCCCCAAGTGCAGTCACAAAAACCGTCAAGCACTACAAAGAAACTGTTTCACATGAGGACCACCGCAGGACAGTAAGACCAAGAGTCCCCTCTTCTGCGAAGGATAAATCTATCCGAGTCACCAGTCTCAGAAATCGCAGATTAACAGCTGCTGAGATTAAAAACAAAGTCAATGCAACTCCACCTGTTAATTCATAGTTTTGATGGCTTCAGTGTGAATCTTCAAATTTCATAGTCATGACAATAAAGGAAACTCGTTTGGTCTGTACATTTTTCTTTATATTTACACTTGATGTATTATTTTTGCAGTAACCAATGGAGGAACAACATTTCCAATAATGGGCTGTACAACACAGACCACATGTGGAGCTGATCTGCAAAGTTTACCATTCATGCAGGATATTGGTAATATTAACAGCGGACCAACATGCTGTAAAACTGAAGGGTGCAATAATCCAGCAGCATCACTCACTACTACTGCCCCGACAACCACAACTACTTCTCCAACCACCGTGACTGCTGCTCCTACCACAACAACCATGGCTCCAACCACCACAACTGCTGCTCCAACTACCACAACTGCTGCTCCTACCACAACAACCATGGCTCCAACCACCACAACTGCAGCGCCAACTACCACAACTGCTGCTCCAACTACAACAACTGCTGCTCTAACCACTACGACTGCTGCTCCTACTACAACAACTGCTGCTCCAACCACCACAACTGCTGCTCCTATCACAACAACCATGGCTCCAAGCACCACAACTGCTGCTCCAACTACCACAACTGCTGCTCCTACCACAACAACCATGGCTCCAACCACCACAACTGCTGCTCCAA